CAGTTGGATCAGCATTGGATGTCTTCTTGAATCACCTCCACCTTATTTTTTGTATCCTCCGTCATCCTCCTATCAGGCCCCCTCACCTACTTAGATCCATGTTCAAAAGACATTCACAAAGAACCCAAGGTGAGAGTTTGTTTTGTTTGTTTTTGTTTTCACTTTTTTTTTGGCTAGACCAAGTGGGAAGAGATGAGGGCAGGGAAGTAGCAGGGGTCAGATCATGAAGGACCTGGTAGCCACGCTAAGGACTCAGGTTTTCAGCCTGTGTGAAATGAGGCGTTGCAGAGGGCTATGAGATGAGGATTGACAGGAAGACTCAGGATCTAAGTGTACCATAGGATAAGGATAGAAGCAGGAAGCCCGCTTGTCAATGCAGGTACAGGGTGGTGACTTGGAAAAGAGTGGAGCACCAGGAGGTGACTCACCCAGGGGCCCTCAGCTGTTTAGTGGCAGAGCCTGAGTTCATAATAGGGGTCTCCTGACCCCTACTCCCAGACCACAGTGATGCTCTGACTTGCTTCTTTGTCTCCTGGTGGCAGATTAAAGATCTCCGAGACCACAAGCTGGACAACCGCATGGAATCCTTCTTCCTGGCCGAGACTGTGAAATACCTCTACCTTCTGTTTGACCCGAACAACTTCATCCACAACAACGGCTCCACCTTTGACTCTGTGATGACCCCCTACGGGGAGTGCATCCTGGGCGCTGGGGGCTACATCTTCAACACAGAAGCTCACCCCATTGACCCCGCTGCCCTGCACTGCTGCCGGAGGCTGAAGGAGGAGCAGTGGGAAGTGGAAGACTTGATGAGGGAATTCTACTCTCTCAAACAGAGCAAATCAAGATTTCAGAGAAAGACGATGAGTTCAGACCCTTGGGAACCCCCAGCAAGGCCAGGCACACTCTCTTCACCTGAAAAGCATGACCAGGCAAGGGAGAAGCAGCCTGTCAAGCAGAGAACCCCGCTCCTCAGCTGCCCTAGCCAGCCCTTCACCTCCAAACTGGCATTGCTAGGACAGGTTTTCCTAGATTCCTCATAACCACTGGATAATTTTTTAATTTTATTTTTTGAGACTAAGCTATAATAATAAATCTGCTTTTGGCTATCAAGTTTTATATACTGGATCCTTCCTGAGATTTCATTCAAAGAAAGGATTGCTGCTTAAAAACTGTCGCGAATCTAGTTTATTTTTCTCAGGTAGTGGTAAAACAACTAAACCCCGAGTTGGCTGACTCTGGAGGCCCTGGGGGTTAATAGTTGGATCTCTCTTCCTTTTCTGGTATCTCTGGGAAAGGTGGTGCTACCAATTTATTTGTTTGTGGCCTCTCCCAACCTGTGCTTCTGACTTTTAGCTGTCCCCTCTATCCATGAGTCCTTAGAGGCAACAGAGGTTTATTAACCACCTTTGAGTGTCAGCCATAGCACCAGAGAGTCAGCATCAAACAAAGAACAGTTTTCATTCTTGTGAGAACTAAATTCCGGCAGAGAGAAATAAATATATGAAATGACATTAGCATAAGTTCCATAAAGAGCATAGGATCCTGGGGCTGGGGTGATAGTTTGGTCAAGTGTTTGCCATACCAGTGCAAGGACCCAAGTTCAGATCTCCAGCACCCACATAAAAACCAGGCAGCATGGTGAATGTCTGGAATCCCAGTGGTGGGTGGAAAAGCTGGGATTTGGGACATGTGGAACCCTGGTGCTCACTGGCCATCCAGTCTAGCCTAATTGGTGAGCTTTGAGTTCAATGAGAGACCCTGTCTCAAAACAGAAGATG